ATGTTTTGACCAAGTGATTAAAAAAACCCCCAACAGTGGTGGAGCCTCCTTGGAGGTGCCACCATCCAAAAGGCCCTGCCTAGCCACCTGAAGAATTTCAGCCAGTGGAGAGGCTCAGAGCAGGCACAGCACCTTATTTTCATTTATGTATTTGCTCCTTATTTGTTCCACCCTTCCTCCAAGGACCACAAGGCACAACACATGAATCTCCTCACATTCTCCTCACTTCTCTCCTCCTTATTCTCACAACCTTGTGAGAGGTAGATCGGGTTGAGAGATGGTGACTGGCCTAAATGAACTTGCAGGAGGTGGGGATTTGAACTCAGGGCTCCCTCCTCCTAGCCTGACACCCAAACAAATGCATCTCACTAGCTCAAATTTTGGTCCTGCAAGCAAACCGGTAGCCCATGCAAATCCTATATGTCAGCCACTGACATGGTTTATGGTTTTATGATGTTTTCATTATTTCGCTGGTACTGTTAATGAGTTAAGAGGTTTATAAATACAGCATTAGATAAGAATACAGTGTTTTAATACAAATGTATAAGAACACAGTTATTATTTTTTATTCTTTTCCAAAAAAATTATTGATTTTCCACATTTATCACAAAAATGACATAACAAAACACACAAAGAAAAACACATTACACTACAATAAATTAAACACAAAGAAAAATTGATTCTTCAAATACCTAATTCTCATTACATTAATAACTCACTTCATCGAATCCCCTCTAACTGAATTTCACTATATCACCTATATAACAGTTCTCCAAATTCATATTTCTAACAATATTGACTCCTTTCAATTACTAACCTCCTCTCCTTTATTAATATTTTAATCCTTAATATTTACTATCACCTATTCTAATTCTACCCCTAAGCCAAGAACACAGTTTTTAATATTGTAATTTACTTGTTGGAAGGGACCCCAAGGGACATCTAGTCCAACCCCCCCGCAATGCAGGGTAGCGTAACTAGTAGTACTACTATGAGTAGTGATAATGTTTCATTCTTCCAGCTCTGGTGGCAACTTTTCCTCCTTTTTGGGTACCAATTGAGTTTTCTGGAGACTTTTTCAAGCCGGCCCCATGTACAGCGCCTTACAGCAATCCAGTTAATAGTTTATTATTATAGCTGTCATGTTAAGCATTGATCAAGGTAATTAACAGATTTCCTTCTTAGCATAAAAAAGCACACCCTCTCGAACTGTCCTCTTTGAAAGAGTATCTTTTCCTCGCATTTTGATGCTCTCCTATTAATCAAGGATAGATGTCAGTGCAGGGCCAAGTGTTTCCCAAAGGAAGAAGGGAAAGGAGGGGGGTGCGGGGAGGAGGGGGAGGTAATCTGTCAAATTCTGACAGGTCCAGAACTTCAGCGCTAGACTCCGGTACATAACAATTTATTAACCATCTGTGCCATCCAAGGTCACACACCACACTGAACTTTTCTTTAAAGAACGTATCGCACAGCATTAAAACAGCTTTGCAAAAGACTATCGCTGCCAAGCCTGTGGAAGTCTACTCAGAGGTAAGTCACATTTCAGCAGTCCTGTTCCAAGGAAATACAGTGGTAACTCGGGTTACAGACGCTTCAGGTTACAGACGCTTCAGGTTACAGACGCTTCAGGTTACAGACTCCGCTAACCCAGAAATAGTACCTCGGGTTAAGAACTTTGCTTCAGCATGAGAACAGAAATTGTGCGGCAGTGGCGCAGGAGGCCCCATTAGCTAAAGTGGTACCTCAGTTTAAGAATTAAGTGGGATTGTAAAGTAATTTTAAAAATTTGGGAAATTATATACAATGAATTGAAGAAAATGTTCCATTTAACATTTGTTAAAAAACCTGAAGCGTTTTTGTTAGGGATTGTAGGGAAAGATCTGCCAAAAAGCTGAAAAACATCTTCACGTATGCGACAACGGCCGCGAGAGTTCTAATAGCACAAGGATGGAAGACTGAAGAAACCCCAACTAAAGAATCATGGCAAGAAAAATTGATGGACTATGCAGAACTGGCAAAATTGACATATAAGCTATGGGACAAGGATAACTGTGACTTTAAAGATGAACGGGAACCCTTTCCAAAGTATCTGAAGACGCAACAAAGCGAACTGGACTCCTTGGCTGGCTTTGAATAAACATTCACAAACTTTTCTATTGTTGATAATCAGCTAAATAATTTGAGGATCTGTACAACTGTGTAACATGCAGAAAACAGCATTCTTAGAGAAATCAAAGACTGGAACTGAGGGAAGCCGGGGTGGGGGGAGGGAGGAAAAATGGAAAAAAAATAAGGGTGATATGTTTCTGGATAATATGTTTTGTTTTAATTTTGAATAAAAAATTTAAAAAAAAGAATAATTAAGTTCTTAACCTGACATACCACTGTACAGTATTGATATTAATATTAATAATTAGTGTCTGTTACAAACCAGAATAAGAGCTAAAGGCAGGGCAGACCCGGAGGGGGGGTTCACTGGTTGACCACAAATAAATCTACCAGAAAAATAAAATAAATCAAGGTTATTATGGTCATAATTCAAGATTCAGGGACAATAGAGAGAGATATAGGAGTGATGATGCCTACTCTGCTGAGTTTAAAAATGAAACACTGTGAAATATCAATATGGCCCCTGAAAGGCGAAACCAGGAATCTAATAAAAATGGCTCAAGGAGGAAATTGTCTGTCATGAAGGAAGAACTGTGGGCTCCCTTTTATATCCCATTAAATGGATATGCAACTAAGGATTACATCTGATGGTCTGACTTTAGACTGCAAAAGCTTATGCCCCCTAATAACTTGTTAGTCATTAAAGGTCTCTGTGTCGCCTTTGCTGCAACACAGCTACCCATCCTGGAAATGGGGGAAAGAGGGAATCTAACGAGTTAATTTACTGACCGGCCTGCAGCCGCCACAGAAGAATTATTCTAGTACCTTTAATCGTATTAGTCATTGCTATGTCAATCGCTTTATTAACCTAATTCTCTTCACATGTTTGAGGAAAAGGAAATGGAATCATGTATGATCCCAGCAGGTGGGCTGCTTTTTAATTAAATTCCCACTTTGAGCTAACCGCACGTGTAGTGCAATTCTAGACTGTGTCTAATGGGACTTACTCCCAGGTCTAAGTGTGCGCAGTGGAGGTGGGGAGCATAGCTGTCAACTTTCCCCCTTTCTTGCGAGGAATCCTATTCGGAATAAGGGAATTTCCCTTAAAAAAAGGGAAACGTTGACAGCTATGGTGGGGAGTCTGCCCCAGTCAGCATGGCCAATGGTCAGAGATAATGGGGATTTTAATGTAGCAGCACCAGGAGGCCACAGGTGCCTCCAAACCCTGCTATATAGAATTACATTGCTATGGTGCAACCTTAAATAGGTCGGCTCAGAATAAGTCCCATTGAGTTCAAGAGGGCTTACTCCCAAGTAGAAGGGTACAGGTTTGCCGTCACAAACAGCTCTTCCACATCTGGTTGATGCTGAAATCAATGGGTGTTGTTGTTGTTTTCTCGAATCTGAGGGAAATTCGCCCTCAGATTTTCACATTTGAATTTTTGACTGCAGATATCAAAGACTCAAAATACGTCAGCCCCTCATTTTTTATTTTCGATGAGCATTTTGTTTGATAGGGTCCTATGCCCCTCCTGTCATGCCCCATTCATGCCAGTGTGGTGTAGTGGTTAAGAGCAGTAGACTCGTAATCTGGTGAACCGGGTTCGATTTCCCGCTCCTCCACATGCAGCTGCTGGGTGACCTTGGACTAGTCACACTTCTCTGAAGTCTCTCAGCCCCACTCACCTCACAGAGTGTTTGCTGTGGGGGAGGAAGGGAAAGGAGAATGTGAGCCGCTTGGAGACTCCTTAGGGTAAGTGATAAAGCGGGATATCAAATCCAAACTCCTCTTCTTCTTCTCATATAGCATGAGAGCCCATACAGAACAGAAAATATTGGCATGGTTTAAATCCAAAGCGGGATTTCTCAAGCCACACTTGTCAATGGCCACATCTCATCGTACGTTTAGAACACTATTATCCCACTATTAGCGCGTTTGTCTTTGCAAAAGGGACAAATTACTGTTCCCTCTTCTCCAACATCTGTCCTTACATGGATACTTCAAAACAGAGATTGGGGACCTGTAGCCCTCCAGATGCTGGATTCCAGCAACTGCAGCCACCATGGCCAATAGTCAAGTATTTATTTATTAGATTTATTGTAAATTTATATCCCACCCTTCCTCTCAAGCTGGCCCAGGGTGGCAAACACTTCTGTGATTAGAAAAGGCAGATAAAAATAATATAAAAACATGTTGAAAACATTTAAAAACATCAAAAAGCAATTAAAGCACAACATAACATTTAAAACGAATTCGGAAAAACAGAAACAACCAGATTTTGTGTCTGGATAGGCCTTTTATACATTTTTATTGGTTTTTTTAACATATCATTTCCAACAGGCATATAACATAACTTTTCATCTTATACAATGTTTTAGACTTCCATCAACACCTCTGATGATTTTTCGTTCTTTATCACTTATTCTGCATTTCTTAATTTCACTATTAAGTGGCAGAGATAGCACAGGATAGTACGCACCCTGGAAATGATCTCTTTCAGCTTCTGCCTTCTGGAAGAAGGTACAGTGGTGCCCCGCAAGACGAACGCCTCGCAAGACGAAAAACCCGCTAGACGAAAGGGTTGTCCGTTTTGGAGGCGCTTCGCAAACCGAATTTCCCTATGGGCTTGCTTCGCAAGGCGAAAGCCCATAGGAAATCTCCGAGGACCTCTTTTAAATGCTAGCGGTGGGGAGCAAAGCCTTCCCCCCTCCGGCCTTCAGAAGAGGTCCAGGAAGGCTGGCGGGGGCCGAAGGCTTTGCTCCCCACCGCCAGCATTTTAAAAGCAGTCCGGGATAGCAGGGAAGCGCTTCCCGCTATCCCGGACGGCTTTGAAGGCAGGAGAGGTCCGCGAAGCCTGGGCGCGCTGATCTCAGCGCGCGCAGGCTCCGGCATGCCGGCAGCTCTCCGCGAGCAGCGGCAGCGCTGCCGCTGCTCGCGGAGAGGTCCGCGAAGCCTGGGCGCGCTGATCTCAGCGCGCGCAGGCTCCGGCATGCCGGCAGCTCTCCGCGAGCAGCGGCAGCGCTGCCGCTGCTCGCGGAGAGGTCCGCGAAGCCTGGGCGCGCTGATCTCAGCGCGCGCAGGCTTCGGCATGCCGGCAGCTCTCCGCGAGCAGCGGCAGCGCTGCCGCTGCTCGCGGAGAGGTCCGCGAAGCCTGGGCGCGCTGATCTCAGCGCGCGCAGGCCCGGCATGCCGGCAACTCTCCGCGAGCAGCGGCAGCGCTGCCGCTGCTCGCGGAGAGGTCCGCGAAGCCTGGGCGCGCTGATCTCAGCGCGCGCAGGCCTCGGCATGCCGGCAACTCTCCGCGAGCAGCGGCAGCGCTGCCGCTGCTCGCGGAGAGGTCCGCGAAGCCTGGGCGCGCTGATCTCAGCGCGCGCAGGCTTCGGCATGCCGGCAGCTCTCCGCGAGCAGCGGCAGCGCTGCCGCTGCTCGCGGAGAGGTCCGCGAACCCGGGGCGCGCTGAGCTCAGCGCGCGCTGGCTCCGGCATGCCGCCAACTCCCCGCGAGCAGCGCCCGCGCTGCCGCTGCACGCGGAGAGGTCCGCGAAGCCTGGGCGCGCTGATCTCAGCGCGCGCAGGCCCGGCATGCCGGCAACTCTCCGCGAGCAGCGGCAGCGCTGCCGCTGCTCGCGGAGAGGTCCGCGAAGCCTGGGCGCGCTGATCTCAGCGCGCGCAGGCCTCGGCATGCCGGCAACTCTCCGCAAGCAGCGGCAGCGCTGCCGCTGCTCGCGGAGAGGTCCGCGAAGCCTGGGCGCGCTGATCTCAGCGCGCGCAGGCTCGGCATGCCGGCAACTCTCCGCAAGCAGCGGCAGCGCTGCCGCTGCTCGCGGAGAGGTCCGCGAAGCCTGGGCGCGCTGATCTCAGCGCGCGCAGGCTCGGCATGCCGGCAACTCTCCGCAAGCAGCGGCAGTGCTGCCGCTGCTTGCGGAGAGGTCCGCGAGCCTTGGCTGGACAGCTTTTGAAGGCAGGTGGGGGGGACAAAGACTTTCGCCCCCGCCAGCCTTCAGAAGAGGTCCAGGACCTCTTCTGAAGGCTGGCGGGGGCAAAGTCTTTGTCCCCCTGCCTGCCTTCCCAGGGGCTTTAAATTGCCCCGGACAGCGGAGAAGTCCTCCGCTGTCCCGGAGCAATTTTAAAATACCGCCCGCCAGCATTTTAAGATCGCCCCGGACAGCGGAGAAGCCCTCCGCTGTCCCGGGGTTTTAAAATGCTGGGGGTGGGAAGAAAAGCCCTTGTCCCCCCAGCCTTCAGAAGAGGTCGGGGGACAGACTGTCCCGGACCTGGTCTGAAGTCGGTTTCCCTAGGAACGCATTAATTGATTTTCAATGCATTCCTATGGGAAACCGTGCATCGCAAGACGAAAAACTCGCAAGAAGAAAAAACTTGCGGAATGAATTAATTTCGTCTTGCGAGGCACCACTGTATAGGGTTATAAAGGCCAGGACTAGCCGCCTTAGAAACAGTTTCTATGCAAATGCAATTCTGTTTCTAAATGCAGCATAAGGGGTCTCTATAGTATAGTGTATTTTAAAATGGGGTTTTAGAGTTTTTAGGGGTTTTTAAATGTTTTGTGTAGTTTTGCTGTAATTTTATGTAGTTTTTATGTAGTTTTATGTAGTTTTGTGGTAGTTTTATGTAGTTTTTCAATTTCATTGTTCCGCATGAGACAATGACAATAAAGATATCGTTATTGTTATCGTTAACTAATAATTCTCCTCATAGTCTTCCTTTCGATTAACCCTCCTTACAAAACTTCTTGCAGTCCTACTAGCATAATCTGTTCAGTACAAACAATAGTTTGTATATGTACTCCAGTCGTCTAAGAATCTCTTATCCCGCAGGTTTCGAATCCTTCCAGTTACAGTAATTTATCAAGTTCTGCATAGTCCATCAATTTCATCCTCCATTCTTCTTTCGTCGGTAATTCTTCTTGCTTCCATTTTTGTGCCAATAATATTCTTGCTGCCGAAAACTGAAAAGTGTTCAGCAGGTATCTAGAAAAGTGTAGTGAGGGCACCTGCCTAATGGCAAGAGGGAATGGTGGGAGTTGTAATTCCATGACATCAAAGAGATTCCTATCCGTGGGCATTTCAGATTGCTGATATTTTCAGGCAGAATTTAATCACGTGCCACCAAATTCAGGCTGCATTATCAGACTTGATTTGGAACTTGTGTGCAACAAATTCACTTCCCTGCATCCTCACCTGCCCGTCCCCCTAATTGGACTTGGGAAATGCCCTGGAAAGTATGGGATGATGCTTGCTTGACACAATGTCATGTAACCTCACCACAAGCAAATAATAAACAGCCGGGGTCTAAACTCCCTGCTCGCTTTGCGACTGCTCAGTTAACAGAAGCAACCTGTTAAAAGGATGAGCAAAACTATCTTTGAAAGGAGGCGTGCTTCTCGATGCAGCAAAAAGCATTCGTGAAATACCAACCCACTTTCAGCTCAGTCCTGTTTGATGTTGAGAAACTGCTAGATCATGGGTAGGCAAACTAAGGCCCGGGGGCTGAATCCGGCCAATCACCTTCTAAATTCGGCCTGTGGACGGTCCAGGAATCAGCGTGTTTTTACATGAGTAGAATGTGTCCTTTTATTTAAAATGCATCTCTGGGTTATTTGTGGGGCCTGCCTAGTGTTTTTACATGTTAAAGGTAAAGGGACCCCTGACCATTAGGTCCAGTCGTGACCGACTCTGGGGTTGCGGCGCTCATCTCACTTTATTGGCCGAGGGAGCCGGCGTACAGCTTCTGGGTCATGTGGCCAGCATAACTAAGCCGTTTCTGGCGAACCAGAGCAGCACATGGAAATGCTGTTTACCTTCCCACCAGAGCGGTACCTATTTATCTACTTGCACTTTGACATGCTCTCGAACTGCTAGGTTGGCAGGAGTTTTACATGTTAGAGTGTCCTTTTATTTAAAATGCATCTCTGGGTTATTTGTGGGGCATAGGAGTTCATTCATCCCCCCCTTCAAAATATAGTCTGGCCCCCCACAAGGTCTGAGGGACAGTGGACTGGCCCCCTGCTGAAAAAGTTTGCTGACCCCTGAGGTGCTAGATAGTGCATGGATTGCAGACCATGGAAGTCTTTGCCCAGAAGGCTTCTGCAGTCTGGCACTCGGGTCCTCCTGGCAAGGCAGAGCTGCTCCAAGCGCTATATCTCGGCTCCCCTCCACTGTGAGCCAACCATCCTTCATCTTCCCGCATTTCAAGCAAATCTCTGGTTGCGCTAGTAGACAGCAGGAGCACCTGTTCAAACAGCCTCAGGAGGAGTGCCCTTGCCATGACTTCGCACTGGTAAATCACGCCTTTAAAATGACAGGATGTGCTCATTCCGAATGCGGGCAGGAACATCAGAACCCAGAGAATAGTCCTTGAACAGCAGCCTCCCTCCCTGCATAAAACATGTGGCTTTTGACTGCAAGATCCAAGGCAATCTTCTCCCTCTTTTCGTTTTTTAAAAAAAGAAGAAGCAAAAAGCATTGCCTTTTACTATCCACCATATGGTGGGCCAGTTGGGGAACAGACTGGAAAAGTATAGAAGATTTACCCTGCCAGATGCATCAATCATTCAGTTGCATTTGGAACGCCCTGGCATTTCAATTATTAACGTTCGGGTGGTGGTGGGAAAAGTGCATTAAAAGAAGAGGAGAACACTATGTCCTGGGAAGGGCAAAGGGGGTAGAGGATCTGCTTTGCCCATGGAAAGTCGCAGGTTCAGTACCCAGCCTCTCCAGGTAGAGAGGGGAGAGACCCCTGTCTGGAATGCTGCTGTCAATCAGATTACAGTGGTCCCTTGGTTTGAGAACAGCTTAATTTATGAACAGCTTGGAAACAGAACGCTGCAAACCTGGAAGGAGGTGTGCCGGTTTGTGAACTTTGCCTTGGAAGCTGAACCTGTTCCGCTTCCTGCTGAGTGTGTTCTGTTTGTGAATTGAATTCCACACTGCAAATCAGAGGCGTCCTGTTGAGTCTGTTGGCTGTTGAGTCCCGAGCACCCATGCAACACAAAGGTGATATTTGGAGCTTTTGTTTTTGCTATTTATTTGCATTTTTTGTGTGTGTGCATGTGACTTTTTCATTTTTTTTTACTGTGACTGTGGCTTGTGACTTTGTTTTTGTGACTGTGGCTTGTGACTTCGTTTTCGTGACTTGTTTTCATGACTGTGTGGAACCCAGTTCAACTACTGATTGACTGATTGCATGACTGCGGAAATGGTTAAAAGCCTCCCATCCAAACAATGACTATTATCGGTGCACGTAAGAGAAAAAAATAATTTTTAATTTTTAACATCTACCATACTGTCTTATTTATTTTATAGCGCAGTACATTGATTATTGCTTTCATTTTATGGATCAATGGTCTCGTTAGATAGTAAAATTCATGTTAAATTGCTGTTTTAGGGGTTGTTTTTAAAAGTCTGGAATAGATTAATCCATTTTGCATTACTTTCTACAGGAAAACGCGCCTTGGTTTTGGAACGCTTTGGTTTTGGAACAGACTTCCGGAACGGAGTAAGTTTAGGAACCAAGGTACCACTGTAGATTAATACTGAGCTGGATGGACCAAGGTAGCTTCCTATGGAATTCTGGGAAATGATATACAGTGAATTGAAAAAAAAATGTGTAAAATAACTTCTGTTAAAAAACCAGAAGCGTTTTTGTTAGGAATTGTAGGTGCAGAGTTTCTGAAGGAACTGAAAATACTGTTTACATATGCTACAACAGCTGCAAGGATGCTTCTTGCCCAGAGTTGCAAAAATGAGAAGACCCTTACCAGGGTGGGCTGGCAAATGAAACTATTGGACTACGCAGAGATGGCAAGACTAACCGGGAAGATCAGAAACCAGGAGGATCGAAACTTCAATAAAGATTGGGACAAATTTATATTATATTTGAAAGACCACTGTAAACACTTGAGCTCTTTGGCAGGTTTTAAATAACTCTTGCAATGATACACAGACTTTGTATATAATGGGGGACTGTAAATTAGGTGAACTTATAATATGCGGATTTTTAAAAAAGAACCCATGGAGAGGAGGAGGGAAGTCTGGAGGTTTGAAAGAATCTTGTGTTATTTTTATTATTTGTGATTATGAATGTGAATGGAGTTGTAAAATCAAATAAAAAAACAAAAACAAAGTAGCTTCCTACGCTGCTGTGCCCTCATCCCCACAAATGACAGGTGAGCTGGCGAATCACTTATGGCTGCATATTATTTTGCAGCAATGATCTGTGAAAGAAGTAGAATGAGCATGCTTTGTTTTACACACACACACACACACACACACACACACTATATACAGTGGTACCTTGGGTTACATACGCTTCAGGTTACATATGCTTCAGGTTACATACTCCACTAACCCAGAAATAGTACCTCGGGTTAAGAACTTAGCTTCAGGATGAGAACAGAAATCGTGCTCCGGCGGCGCAGCGGCAGCGGGAGGCCCCATTAGCTAAAGTGGTGTCTCAGGTTAAAACAGTTTCAGGTTAAGAACGGACCTCAGGAACGAATTAAGTTCATAACCCGAGGAACCACTGTATATGTTTCCACCGATACTCCATTACATAGATCGACAATGGTCATTCCTATCAATCTATTTATTTGTGATTCCAAAGTTTAGCGCAAGTGACAAACATTTTGGGGCAGGCAACAGCTTAGGGCATGTCATGGTCCTTCCAAAAGCCCAAATCTAAGCATCTCTCCAAAACATCCTTTGATGGGGGATGGCATTTGGAGGCTGGAGTTACGTTACTAGGCTTGCAAAATATTTTTACTATCCTGCTGGGGGCCGACAGCTCACTGCATTTCTCTGGCCAGAGCCAAGGGGGGAGGTTTCGCACCCCTTCTA